TGGGCAGTGCCACATGGGAAGGCATCTAAATGTAAGAATGAATGAAGGTATTATTCATGAAGAAGAAAGTCCTACAAATAAGGATTTTAGAAGCCCCTTTGATAACAAGGGGAACAACAGAAAAAGCATTTTCAGTGTAGGTCCTCCTACTTCATACTTTTGAGCTGCTGAACAACTGGTCTTGAAAAGTACATTTTCTTGATAGAAAAGAAAAGCATGAAAATGCAAGAATGTAATGAGCCTTGCCAAGTCTTCAACTGGTGAGAAATCACTCACTCTCTTTAGAGGCCTAGGTTGAACAGTTAGTGCATTGAGCACAGAGAGGAAGCAGAGACTCATGCAAGACTTGCCTCTTGGTAAATTGCTTTGACTTGGTCTGCCTAATTCACTTGTCTGCTGCTGTCCTGAGGCACTGAACTGTGCTGCTGTGAGGTGCTGCTAAGTCACATTAAGGGAGTTGAAAAGGAGAGAGGCTGTGGCCAGAATTGCCTATTATAAGTGCAACCACAGAAGAAATAATATCTCCATGGCTTAACTAACTTTACGATGTGACACTGGATGGGAGAACTGTGGTTTGAATTTCCTAATTCCTTGGCTAGTGGTGATTAGAAACTTTGTGCAGTGGAGGTGCTGGGTCTGCATCATGGCCTGGCACCCAACTGCAGAATGTGAAGCTGCTTTCTAGCTTTGGCCCTCTTGGCAGCAATATTATGGCTGCTGTAATAGGCGTCAGGGAGGCAGAATAAAGCTGTGGAGCAGTCCAGGGTTGAAGCAGTGGTGAGAGACATGAAAAGTAAGCCCACTTGGATAGCTTAATATTGTGAATTCCTGTCTTTTAGAAAGGGGAGACCACCTCCAAATAATTCCAGGGACAGACCGCCAAGCTCCAGGCTAATCTAAATTAAAACAATTATCCTCTTACAATTTTGGTTTATTTTGGCAATGCTAGCAAATTCTTAACAGCAAAGCAAGTTAGTCAGTCGGGAGTTATTCTGAGAAGTCCCAGGGGAAGGTACTGGGCAGTAACAGACAGCTGAAAGCTCAACAGAGTCAGTTCTGTCACCTTCCAGCTCATTGTGCAGAGCATCTGCAGCAGAGCTAGCAAGGGAAATGCAGACCTGTAGTGACACGGGGCCTTTTATTCTTGTGTCATATTTTCAGATTCAGACTGGCTTGCTGGCTGTCTGGTAGAGTCTGAGCATGCACATGGTGAATCTGGATGAAGCTGAACATTAGAAACATATTAGGAGTTTGGGGATTTGCAGAACAAGGTGAAAGAATGATCCAGTGACGATATAGACAGTGTGGGCACAGCCCTCCCAGTGCTAGTTAGGCTGACCAGACTGGTGGTGTTGGCAGCAGTTGCTGTGATCTCCCAGTGCTTGTTAGGCTGACCAGCCTGGTGGTGTTGGCAGCAGTTGCTGTGACCTGTTGAATGGCCTCTCATTCAGCTATTGCAGCTATGGAGAAATCATTTGAGCAGTAAACCACATGAACTACTGATTATTTTGAAATTCATGACTGTTATCTCCAGTAGTGCTACCAAGGAAAAATGTCCATTCAGAGTGAATACTTGTACTTTTATCTCGCTGTATTGTCCTTTGCTCAGACTGTGGCATATTTTATGGAGAAGGAAAAACTGATGTGATGTGCTAAGTGGGTTAAGGACAATTAGCATTCAGGCAGTTGAACTAGGTGTTTGTTGTAGGTCACTTCAAAACCACATATTCTCTTCTAACATCCATATTAAATCCTGAATATTAAATAAGATGTTGTAATATAGCCGTGAGCTATTTCTCTATGTGTCTATATGCATGTACACATGCAGGCATATATTTAACACATAATTAGAAGAATATATATACTTCTTAAAATTATATAAATTAATTGAGTAGCCTAAGGAAGTTCATTACTAGAAGAGACCATCATTGCACTTAATCCATTCTCCACTTGGTCTAGGCTTGGGGTTTTTTTCCCAAATATGCTGTATTAACACCAGAAATAATATGTCTGATGAAGGATAGTCTCCAAAAAGGCAGGGAGTTTTGATCTGAAGACATAAAATGCTCCAAAACAAATAACAAATAAAATGCCTTTCACTTCTGGTTTTATGGTTTTGTTGTTATTGCAGTTCTCTACCTGGAAATACCTTAATACTTCTAAATGTTTTACATAACCAGTCTGTAACAAGACTGTTTCCCCTTGCACATGTAAATCTCTGCATTTGCAGTGATCCCACAGAGCCCTGTGCCTGCTCATTTGCTGGCTTCAGCTCTTCCAAAAGCAGAAGAATGTTTGTTCACCTAGTCTTTGCTGCCAAAAACATGCATGTCTGAGTTCATAAATAGAAATCATTTGTCCAAAATGGGCCCAAAGGACCTACTTCCTCCTGATTTTAAGAGCAGCAGAGTTACAGTCAGTTGCTTAAATTTATGGGTAGCTGCTGCTTTGTAAAAATCATGATAGAGTAGCAGGAAGAAAATGTATTTTTAACAAATACAGAGAGCTACTGAGACACAAACTCTTAAGCATGATTCACTGGTCAGGCCACTCTGTCTGCTAAGTGTTTAAGCTATGGCATTTCATTATAGCCTTGGCTGCTTTTTTATGTATTATGACAGAGCAGTTACTAAACCAGTGCCCTTTACTCTATTGGACTGGAACTGCCTTGCTGGGTGCCTGCAGCCCATCCTGCTCATAAATGGTAGAAAATTTTCTTCAGCTCGAGGAGTGAGGAGTCTGAGCTCTTTCCATGTTGCAACAAGCCCCTTTGCAGCATGTGTGCAACTTACCCTGACACCAAACAGTCCTAAGAGAACCTGACTGCAATTTAGTAAGACCCTAGAAGTAGAACAAGTTGGATAAAGGTTTGATAGAGTTTTGTACTGGATTTTATATGGCTTTGAGATAAATGCTTATACTTTTGGCCTTCATTTCTTCTTCTTTAAAGAAAGTAGGTAACCCCCTTCATTCAGTTCTGAAAATGAGAAATATATTGAGGGCAGGAAAGGGAAGAGCAGAAATGGGAAGGGCAGTGGCCTTGCTGACAAGGACACAGTCTCAAAATGCCCAAGGGAGGTGAAAAGAGAGGCCTGGGGAGAGTAATTCGGTTCAACCAAGAGTCTAGGAATCAAGTTCACAGAGTTAGGACAGATCCAAAGTTAAACAGGGAAGCAGTTGATGTGACAGATATTTATGGGACATGGCCAGGTACAGGCAGAGCTGCTGTGCTGCTCAGGCAAGGACTTTCCATCTCATGGTTAGCTAATTGCAAACAGGAAAGAAGAGGGAAGTTTTAAAACCTGGCTATCAGTAAGTGGAATTGGACCCAAAGACTTTTTCAGGACACATTTTGTGACTTAGTGTTTCAGAGGTCAGATGGGAAAGGTTAGTGAGAAGGGTCAGTATACTCCTCCAGCATGTCTGACATGTGTAGGTGATAACCTGCTGAATGTTACAGTTGGTGAACAGAAACAGATGTGTTTGTAAATGACCTGTGTTAATCTAAAAGTTGTCAGTCTGAAACTGAACCCAAAGAAACGTGAGTTGGTTTAGGGATAGAAAGTTTGTTTCTGCTTTTCTGCCAGTGGTTTAGTCATTGGAGAATGGATTTACATAGGCAAGAACAAAAGGAGAAGCTGAGCAGAACTCCTTAAACCCACCAGATGTGTGGAGTTTTGTAGGATTATGGTGTTATTATTACAGAATGTAAGTTGGTAGATTTGCCAATGTTGCAAAACATGCATAAGTTGGAGAGGAAAAGGAAACCGTTTCAGTCATCAGTAGAAATGTCATTTAGCAAGTTCAGAGCTAAAAGTCCCATTGCAAATGTTCATCTGTGTTTCAAAACCATTCCATATTGAATGCAGACGCTAGAGCATGCAGTTCGGGACAGGATTGACACAAGAACATAAAAATCTCCAAGGGATGGCTATTGAAGATTCCTAAAACAAAACATTTTCAACATAGTATAGGAAGATGGTCAGGACAGACCATACATCCCTGAAATATCTCAGTAGATCCTGCAATCCTGAGAAAATTGCCAAGTGTTCATGTGAACTGCAACACTAACATTTTGCAATTGCAGTTGCTTTGTTTTGTACCTTATTTTGTTGGCTCTGGTGCAGGACTAACTGGGAAGGAGATGAATGCTTTCTGAAGAGAATGAGTATTCTGAGAAGGAGATAAACCAACTTCTCTTTTGCCATAAGTGAAAATAGTACTGGTTAATCCAGGTGAGGATTGTTTATAGTAATCAACAGCTTCCCAAAGTGGGAATTATATCTGGGTAGGCTGCGATGGGAAGATGATTTGGCAAACGCTGCCACTTTAGAAGTGGTATCTTCTCAGAATATCATAGTAAGAAAACTCTGCTTAGAACAGGGAAGCACTGAGTGCAACATGAAGTTGTAGAGGACATGTAGAGTAACCAATGGATCATTGGCTTAGGTATTAGATGGTTACTAGGCAGGTCTATGAATCATGGACATCATCAGTGTGAGAGATGTATTGAGGAGGATCTGGGCTGACCACCTGCATGATGTGTCCATAGAGGCTCACAAGGTCATGTGCATGGAGCTGGGTGAGATTCTGGGCCAGATGGTGTCTGACCTCATGGGCAGGAGTAAGGGTTTCCATCTCTGTTTTTCAAGCCTGCATCTCTGTAGGATACATATACCTCTGTGTCTATGCCGTGTCTTCCTGCCCGGGTTGTGGTAAGGTAGCCTGCTGACAAAGAGCAAGACTGTGAAAAATAGGCAAGTTATCTGCTCAGAGAAGGCAGTGACCTGCACATAGACATGGGTCCAGATCATGTCTGTAGTGTAAATTGCTACAGGAGCATCTTAGAACTAACAGAGGAAATAACTTAGGTTTCTAAATGAACCCAGGGTGCAGTTATATACTGGAGTAATGTTCTTTCCTTTGACAGGTATCTCACTGGAACATGCTACAGAATTTCTTATTTCAAATGATACAAGGAAGCCTGGCCATGAGAAGTGTTGACAATGTAATTTGATTTTATTTGTATTGTTGGCACTTCATGTGTAGGACATTCTTTTCTGGTTTATTTTTTAATGAGAACCATTCCATCAGATCGTGAAAAGAAAATTTTCTGTTGCCCGATGCATAAGCAGAAAACCTAATTGAACAACCCCCCAATATTATAAAGAACAGGAAAATAAAACAAGTTAAGCAATTATACTTGACTTCTATGTATAACACGTTGTCTTCAAAAATCTGAGTCGTTTCCATCCATATAAACAAGTTATATAGTAGTAACAAAGTGCATGAAGCAAATTGCTAAATTTAACTAAGGTATTAAAATAAAAAGTACTTTAAAACAATACTTTAACACAGTTTCTTGCCATGATTCCATCATGCATCAACACAAAGCAGATCCCGAGGCAACCTGTGCCTTTGACAGTCTTTCTGTATTATTATGCAAATAAATGGAAGTAATGATCAAACAGGGTGAAAAACATCAAGACAAACCATCTATTTATAACAGAGCTGTATTTAAAAAAAATAAAAATCAAAGTGCACTGCTGGTACATCTCATTTGAGCCTATCTGGAATGTGTATAACAGAGGGGAGTGATCCAGTCTCCAGAAGTTTCAATGCTTTGTTTAAGCACCAAGGGAATAAAGAACAAGGGCTGTTCTGTTACTAGCACTACTATGACTAGCATGAAAACTGAAAAATTGTACCAGAATACATACGTAAACATCTTTTGTATACTGAGGAGGCAAACACTCATAAATTATCTGATGTGTACAGTACTGGTACTTGATGTTTTGGTGCCAGTACCAGACTGGTCCAGTAATTAGCATTCAGATCTATTTCTAATTACAGATAAGGCATATAACGAAAAAGTAAATATTTGGTTATTAATATCTCATATGGTTCAGCAACCCAACCAGTCAGAACTTATCTTGCCAATTTTAACAATCTTCAAATTCTTGTCTTCCATTTGTAGGTAGTACTGATCTTTGAAAAAGTAGGTGTATCCTGTGAAGGTAAATAAAAAAGCATGCTCAGATTATGGAGCACAGAATTCTTGATCCAAGTTTTTTGTCTGTGTGATTTCATGAAGCTTAGTGAACTGGAAGACTTACCTCCCAAAATATTTGTACATGCTAAATAAGATATATTTTAAATCTACATTGAAATTCCCATCCTGGAGAAGTGAGTTCTTGTAAACGGGGCCTGAAGTCAAGTAACTGTTCTGTGAGCCAGAATTTTCTGGAAAGAAATGTTTGTTGGCAGAACAGATGTTGAAAATGTGATTGAGTTGAGACTCATGTGATACCAGTGGTGCTTTCAGACATTTTTGTGTATCTGTGCTAAATATGAGGCCCTTAAACCAGGGACCAGGCTCTCAGCTGCAGCTGAGAGGAAGTAAAAAAAAGTTACAAAATAAAACCCATTCATGCCTGTGACCAAGGAGATTGTCATACTCTAGATCTGGCTGTGCTAGATCAGGATGGTGCTGAAATGGTGCTGTGACTGTGTGCTGGTATTGAGGAACCTGCGGAGCTATCAAGGAGCTGAGAAATTTCCAAGCCATAGGGGCTGGCTCAGCCATGCTCTCTGGTGTTAGGACATCCTGTGTGTCAGGCACTGTGTGGCTCAATTTGATTCCTACTCATGGACCACAGGAGATTAAAGTCTTCAGCAAGTTTCACAGCAGACAAATAAGAGAGCTTGTTAGTGACTTAAATCAGAATTACAGCTTACCACTGTCAGCCAGACCCAGGACAGCATCAAGGTTATCTGGAACACCATTCCAAGAGTCAGCAATGAATTTAGGGGATGCAAGCTCCATTTTTTTCTTCTCTTCATTGTACCTGAAGGAAATTATATCTCTACATTACCATTCTGTGTTTAATGTTAAAATTTAATATAATTTTTCAGTGAGTCCTCAGCAAATGCGACTATATGAAACAAACAGAAATCTAATAACTGAGATTGTAACATTGTTTCTGTTTCATTATTATTATTGCTTTAAAATCCTGTGAAATCTTGCATTGTTCCTTTGAAAATGCAATTCTTGATGAATTGAAAATACACTCTCTAAGGAAAGTTCTTTTCAGAAATGCAATTTAAAAATTCCAGACATAATTGTAGGAAAAGTAACTTTTTTTTCAGAGGCATTCAACATCTAAAATAGCAGATTTTAATGTGAAATGATTATTTTAAAAATCTTGTTTGAAACATGCTTGTAGTCCATGCAATTGATAGACTGCTGTTAAATTACTAATTACTTTCCCTAACATTCCATTAAAACCCCCTGTACTTTTTACATGGTTTTTCTCTCAGTGATGATCAGCAGATGAATGCCAAGTTAAAAATATATGCTTTTCCTGTGGGGGACACACTCCCCAAAAGCATGATGACTTTCACAATCTATGCTTTGAAGAAAGAAAACTCAACTGATGTAAATTCACCTAAGTCCGTGGAAGTCAGATGTAATTTGCAGTGAGTGGATCTATGTATCCACATCCCCAGGTGTCAGTTGTTTCCTTTACGAATGCAAAGATAGATTTGGGCAAAGTTTTACACTCCCCCTAACAGGTAATCTAGGATTTCCCTTTTCATATATGGGGAATAAATATCCCAGAGATGCTAGGTGCTGCAGAGTGAAGATGGAAGGAGCAGGACTGTTGCCTGGTTTCCCTGTTTCTGGTTCTTAGTTGGGAGTCAGTGCTGAGCAGGAGTGTGGATGTGTGCTGAGGAGCAGTGATATGGGATACAGTTTGAACCAGGGAGGGAAGCATTTATGTTCCAAATTTCTCTTTATCTGTGTCTGTATCTCAGGTTGCCTTTCCCTCGTTGCTGTATGGAACTACTTGTATTATATCCCAAGTTACACCAGTACACATGAGCAGTAGGTTGGTCCAAATCAACTTCAATGATTAATTTGAATTCCTCATTGGTTTTTTATATTTAAAGAAAATCTATTACCTTGCTGGGTAGCTTTAAAATTTCAGCTGTTGAATCTGAGCCAGTTCCTCTTCCCTTCACTCACAAAACTTTGCTATGCTTAACAGTCTTGTTATAATAACACTAAAAATAGCTTGTGGCTGGAATGAAGGGAAGTCAAGTCTTCCAAAAAATCCATTTAAAGTAAGTGTGATAATGGCACAGGAAGGACTATGGTATGTAACTATTTTGATTTCACGTGACAGAGCCCTTGTATAAAATGTAGCAGCCACATACTTAAGGGTTCTAGCATCTGTTAAACACAAATGCATTTTCTTCCTGAAATATTTGTCCACTGCTTGCTTTCTTCTTTACACAGACAGAAACCACTTAAGCTTATTTTGACTCCTTAACAATAAACTATGCATTCTGTAGTGACTGCAATTGATAAGGTGCTTCGATAGAAATACTGTCTGTGATTAGTGATTAATTACTTGCAGGCCCTGCAGTAGAGTTAATCAAAACAGCAGCTGGTACAGAGGAGACCAGCAGCTCTGCTAACTCAGTGGGTTTCAGTAGGAATCTGAAGTGTGGCAAATAGCTGTATTAGAACTACTTGCAAATGTTTAAATGGTCTCTACGAGACAACATTAAGAAATGAATAACATTTTTAAGCTTTTAAGTTCTTTTTTTTTTCTTTAGATAATGGAGAAGATTACTGTCCTCAAAGTGATTGAAAGTTATGATCAAGTGGCAATTGTAAAAGGATATTTTATTTACTTACAGGAATCCACAGCCATTAGGATATAATAAAGACAGTCATTCAGTTTGATCATAACATGAAATTAATGTTCACATAAAATGGACTCAATTATACTGAGACCTCCTTTGATATTTTATATAGAGCATCTCTCAGAAGGAACCCTTATAGCTTGGAGAATCTTTTAGATTTCTGGTGGTTGTTTCTGATGTTTAACTTCCCTCTAAATTGTCAGTTAATGAATGGCTCCACTTTCAGCCTGTTGTGTAATGTTTGCATTCTTGAAGTTCAGTCCTGTTCCTGGAACAGGCCTCTGACAGTGACCACAGGAGTTAGTGTCTCTGTTCTGTTGTTCTATTCTCGAGCCATTTTGATAAACTCACAAAGTTCCTCAAAGCACCAAAATGCCTCTGCTTTTTAAGATGGTCTTTTGTGCCAGATCTTCCTGCCTATTATGATAATGAGGTTCTATTAAATACAATTATACAATTACTTGACTCTTGAGGTGTAATGCAGGATATTTATTTCTACCACAGAAATAGCCTCAAGACATCTTAAGGACAATTCTTTCTTAATCTTAAGAAGATAAGATAAGAGCCTGGTAGCAGGTCACCCAAGTTTCACTGGAAACATGAAAAGGATTGAGAGTCTGTCAAAATGAATTGAAATTAAGATTTTTTTCTCAGAGTGCACTCAGATACACTTGTGGTTTGTTCACATTTCCTCAGTGGCAGGTATATTAGTGGAGCAAAGGTGTTAGTGACTGGTAGATCAGCTGCTGAAAGGATTTACAGTCATCCCCAGCAGGCTTTGCTAGTCACACTGCTGTTTCTTTTAAATCCAGTGCCTCCAAACCTGATGGCTTTAGAGAATGTATTTCAAAGGCAATCTGGTCAGTCTTTGGCTTCAGTGGAGATCAACCTGTTTTTAAGGAATTCTTTGCAGAGCTTTCTCCCAGCATTTGTGAGCTGTCAGTAAGGACAGCTTGCCCCTCTCAAGAACCTGAGACTGACATGGGGCAGCTGCTGGCACACGGTGGCAGAGGGATGGGTTGTTAGTGGTGACAGACACTCCCAGATACCCTCTTCCATTGCAAGCAGTTCTCTCAAATACATGCTAGCTTCCTCCTGCTGTGCTGAAGAGCTTTCCTGCTGTCAGCACTGTCCTGGCAGCTCTCATTTTGCATTCTGAGAGGATGAACCTCAGAATGAGGTTGAATGTTTGGTCCCTGCCTCCTCAGTGTGCATTCAGCCCTAGAGACACAGCACAGCTAACAGCATCCCACCCCCACTCAATGCATCTTACTTCCAGTATCTGTCTCCAGCAAAAATGTATGTCCTCTTGTTTCTGCCCCAGTTAAAAGCTGCATCGACACGTTGCACATCAGGGGGCAATCCCAGGTTGGTGAGTTTCTTTGGGTAGCCCCTGTCCAAGTTGCTGGCGGAATAAACCCAGTACTCATTTCCTAAGCAGGGGAGAAAACAAAGCAAACACTGTTTATTAATCAGTAATAGACAAATATTTCTTCTTTTTTTGCTTTGCTATGTGACTTTTTATTGCACTAACTGTACTACTAGTCCTTCTGGTACTTTACCACGTGTGAAGCACTTGATTACAATGCAGGTGTACTGTGATTGCAGATTAGCTGTCTCATCTTTGAGGCAGATATTGTCTCGGTACATTGCAGTTATGCTAGTTTATATTGGTAATTTTTTGTGTGATGAAGATGGTCTGGAACCAGACTTGGGCATCTGAAGGTCAAATACAGCAGCTCATCTTCACTCTCTGTTTTATTGAGCAATTTTATTGAGTGATTAACAGGAAGGTTTTGCTCAGAGTTCCTGTTGTCTTTTGTCACATGACATTTTCTAATGTTTCTCCAAATACGTACTAGTGGAAGATGTTGCAGTGTTCTGTGTTCTTTGCATGGAATTCTAATTTACTTAGTAAATACCCTCACTGGCTTCACTGAGAGCCACAGAAAGATTTATTCTTGAAAGGACATTTCTTTGATTATGTGCTAGTGGGAAAGTAAGTAAGTAACGTGTTAATATGAGAAAAGTGTGAAGTGCAGTATCTGAGATCCTCAGAATTTATTAATTCACCATTCAGGAGCAAAGGCTGGGTCTGACTAGTAAGTATTTTAGGATAGTTGCATTATTTTCAAACCAATCTTTGTGGATGTTTTTGATAGTTCTTATTTTTGATTTATTTTTAAAATCACATTAGTTATATTATCCTGGAAATTATAAAGAAAGGGAGAGGTTTCCATGTAATAGTATATGTAGTGTATGCAATATTTAAAGTATTTTGGCTTGCCTGAAATAAAACTTTTTTAAGCATTCCCCCCCCAATGTAAACTAAAGCAAATGGCCTCTGAGACATGTGGAATAGATTATCATTACTTTTTTCTTTCCTGTACAGAAAACATACAGCAGCTTTGGCCATATGGTTTTTACATGATTGGAGATGTTTAGTCATGTTTTTAGCAGATACTGGAGCCTAGTTTTTGCTGGCTCAGTTTTTCATGTTGAAAACAGCCTCACAGCTCTGCTCATTTGGCCTCTGCAGCTGAACCATATGTGTGACTTAGAACAGCCAGAGCAGTGCTCCCTGCTCTCCTCTCCCATGGAGGCAGCTAGCACAGCCACCTGGATCCTCTGCCTGAGGGGCCACCAAGGAAGATGCTTAGGAGCCAGAGTGGAAGTCTGTCTTTGGCAATAGAGGAGGAGGCAAGGAAAGGCAGGAGGAGAAAAAAAAAAGGTAGTTTTCTTAATCAACATGTGCAGAGACAATAGCTTAAGATGGAAGGAAACTGAAGAAAAACAGAGCAGTGACTGATGTAACAGAGCTCCCACTGTTGGTGTTGCTTTTTGTTTCAAATAATTACTCTTGTTTAGTCTTGCATATCATTGAATGACTATTTCTGGGTGCTTATAGTTCCCCTCTTGTTGTAGCGGAGGCTGAATGCTGTTCAGAGTCTTTCAGGTCCAGCCTTTGTGCTAAACTCCTCAGCATGTGAATTTGGAGATCTGTCACCCATACCTGTTGGCTCTCCTGGCTCTTAGGCTGTTCCCTGGCCCAGTTACAACTCGGAGGAAACTGAGCTGGAATGCAACATTATGCAAATGGCTACTTACATTTCGAAACTTAAAACCAATACCTGAAAAAAATACAGACTTCTCGTCCTGAGGGGCCTCGTAGACAGCATCGATTTTCTCTGGCAGATCAGGCCAGAATGTAGCAACAAGAAGAGGACCTGTGGGTTTTCCTCGGGGGTTTACAGTCCTCCACATGAATCTGAGCAGAACAGAAAATTGTACGAGATTTACAATGAACTAATTCAGCAGCACATCTGTTTCTCATCACTTCTGGCAAGGCCACATAAGCATGCACAGACACACATGCACACACACACACACACACACACATTAGCAGCAAAACACACTTGGAACTCTTTTCCTAGTGACTGAAAAGCCGATGCATTTATTTAGGAGCTAGAAGAGCTGCACCATGAGCTGGTATTAGAATCATAGAATCGTAGAATCTACCAGGTTGGAAGAGACCTCAAAGATCATCGAGTCCAACCCTACTGTTGTTATTAGACCATGGTGCTAAGTGCCACATCCATTCTCATCTTGAAAACCTCCAGGGATGGTGAATCCACCACCTTCAAATTGCTGCACCCGTTGCACTGGTTGCTTTGGGCTCCCTGTGCAAAATTTATTGCATGCTTTGAGTATACAAATTTACTCATATTCATGGTGTTTGAACTGTTAGAGCCTCTCCTGCAGTTATGTACGGAGCAGATGGATAAGGGTTTGACCAAAGCAGAGTTTTGTATTCCATGAATTGCTCTGGCAATTACTATTGTAATGGCTAAAAGTTCAAATTTAATAGCAGTATATCATACTGCTTGGAAGTGAGTCTGGCTGTAAAAGGAACTGCTAGCACTAAAAATGTTCATTAGAGAAATGCAAAGGGTAATTTATTGGCTATTTTATGTATAAGTAGGATCATAATTTGATTTAAGCTTTAAAAAGCTTTAATTATCTTTAAATGGCAAAGCTTTGTGCTGAGGGCGTTTGGTATTAAAAATGGCACTGCTATTTCCTGCTCCATAGAATGAACAACTTTATTTCCTCAGCAGAACTAAAGTTTTGACGTGGTCATAAAATGAAAAATCAGCAGGCTGGTGGAATCACTCTTGCACCAAGCTATAGCTGTTAAATTCTGGGGTCAAACAGCTTTGGTCATGAGTGTGATTCTGAAGATCAAGATACTAGTGACATCTTATTTTTTGCAGAGTATAAATAGTGATTCCTCATTCCTGCCTAGAACAATTACACCTTTGAGAAACACAGGATCTGAAACTGGCTTTCAGTTTGGCCTAAAACTTGAAAGAGCAGTCCTAAATTAATTTAATAAATTGTTGTAACTTTATCAACAGAAGTTACAAAGAGCTAGGACAAATAAAGCGTTTTGAAATGCATTTGCAAGTGTGATCAGTTGCTGCCTACTGAATTATGATAATCTACAGTGTTTGCTATGAGGAAGAGAACAACTGGCAAGTGCATTTTTTTTGTATCTTCATTAAAAATGTGTATTCATTTAACTTGACATAAGGTATGAATGATTAAGATAGTAATATGTTAATGTACTCTCATTTTGAGTACATAGATTTTAACAGGTACAAAAATATCTCTGAGCAAGAATCATCATAATTTTCCTTTACAGAAAAGAGACAAAGAATAACTACTTGGCTAATTGCTCTTTCTCTTGACAGTGTTTAAACACACACAAAATGCTGTAAAAGGTCATACCATTTGTTTCATGCATCTCTTTTTAGACTGAAAGACAGATTCAATATGATATGGGATGGAAATTTATATAGAAAATCTTTCTAACACTGCACTCATAAAAGTAACTCCTTTAAAAATCCAAGTTACAGAATTCTGAGTCAAATTTGGACCTGATTTATGGCTGAATCAGCAGTAATAATTGCTATGTGCATGAATTCCAAACTTTCCATAGCCAGTGGAGACTTCAACACCAGGTTTTTAATAAACCACACATTTCAAGGGACTTGTTAAAATGGTGAGGTTTTCTTGTGGAAAGGGAAACTTCGTCAAAGCTGAATTTTAGTTAGTTTTTGAATTGGGTAGGAGGTATTTTTATTTCTACTCATTGAGGAAATGGTGAAATGAATTAGTTGGCTTTCTCATCTCACTTTGAACATGCTAAAATATTTTAACTCATCCATATTATATATGAATATTACATTTACAGGCAGATTTGATAATTTTGTTACAGTGGGTATTTTACATCATATTTTAACATGATCAACATTTGTTGCCATTGTTGTTATTATTATTATTACTACTATTACATGAAGTTACTGAAAGGGCCCAAATCAGTGGGTCTTTTTTAATGTCTTCGTAAACTTCAGAAATTTGAATTTTTGTTCACTCTCAGAACAAAACCATCTGTGGAAATGCTGTTCTTGGGCATTCTGTACCCAGTGGAAAAGCTCAATTGTTCTCTATGGCCAACAGCACCTTCAGTAATTCCCTTTTCACACACTCAGGTTGGAAAAGACCTCTGAGGTCATCAGGTCCAAGCTGTGACCTAACACTACCATTTCAACTAGACCATGGCACTAGGTGCCACATCCAGTCTCTCCTTAAACACCACCACCACCTCCCTTGATTTGAGCAGGGAGAGAAAAATACTTTTTTGAAAGAATTAATCATATCTGACCTCGTTTTTGCTATTTACTCCCTTTGCCTTTGCCATGTGACAGTTGGATGCTATGGTCATTTTCATGAATCATAAAAGTCACACGATGCGATAGACGTTTGTTTCTTGAATTCCAAAAGTGAGTCATAGTGCTGCTTGCCTGATAGTTGGAAAGCTGCAAGACTGACAGGCAAAGCCATTCCAGAGCAAAACAATTCCACAGTTGTCTGGTTTTGCTGCATTTTAGATAAAGCCTGAGCCAGTTTGAACAGATTGTTTCAGTATTTGCATAGTTCTTAGACCAACTGTATCTAAATGCAAAATACTTCTATTTTGTTGGGATTATATAGAATCCTGGACCACTTTGCTGATTTAGGAATAGATTTGACATTGTTCTTTGTGTGATTACCAGTTTACAAAGGCAGAAGCAAGGTGGAGGACTGGCTGAAAACCAAGGCCCATGAGTGAGCAGAAGAGGAACAGTATGCTCTGAATACTCAGGAATTTGAAAGGGATTTTACTGCTGTGAGAATATGTTTTATCTTTTGAAGGCACTGGGCTGGGGTGAATACTTCAGCTCTCTGATGACTACCTTAGCAGCAGTGTGCACTCATTTTTACAAGGGTCGTGGGGCCAGCCCTGGGCAGCTGGTTGTGGAAGGACCCAGTGTGGCCAAGAAAGGACTGTTTCTTGCCAGTAGGGATCACTGGAATCCTAGGCTGCTGCTGACAGGGCCAAGAGGAGGAGTATGAAAGGTATCAGAGGTGTCCTCACAGTCAGATCAAATGAACCCTTTTTGCCCCAAGCTGCTGTAATACAAATGGGAAATATTATGTTCTTAGAATCAGAGGGTTTAAATCCCATTTCTGCATTGCTGAAACACGATGCCTGTGTAAAGATTAAGTCAAATTTCAAACCCAAAACACCATTATTCTGGGTGTCACACAGATTGAATCTAGAAGGAAATGCACTGAAGGAATACTGTATACCATAGTCTGTAAAATTACCCGATTACCACAATATTTTGTTACAAAAAGCTGGTGAGTAGAGTTAAACTATGCAGCATAGTACTAAGTTCTTCATAAGTTCTAGCTGAAAATTTCAATCTGCAATATGTGACTAGACTCAGGTATATCATCAGGAGATACAAATAGAGACTAAATTGCTGTTTTGTGAGGGGAACTTGTTTGTTGGTTCCTGCTTCCTTTTAAATTTCAAGTGACATCTTGCAAGGAGAAGTGAACAGGTGAGCTGCAATACCTCCCTCAGCATCAGATGCTTGTACATGTTTTTATATGATAGGAGAGAGTGTTTGATTTAGGCACTCTCAGTGAATGTGCATGGGCCCAAATCTTCAGTGGCATTGTTCAGAGAGAACGTTCAGGGTAACTGAGGATAAATGATTTGAAATTGGGCAGTGATTTATGGCAGGGAAAAAGGAGCTTTATTGTCTCTCACAATGATGCTGCCAAGTCCCATACTCCTTAGGAGATGCTCTTCATTGCTGAGCAGCTGGGTAATAGAGGCCCTGGCACAGGCAGTGGGAGCTGCAGCTGTGCAGCCACCTCATTTTATCAGCAATCTCTCTACTTTTGCAACAAAAATGCCTTTGGTGTCTTCTGTCTTGGAGGCTTTGTACACATGGAGCCTGTCCCAGCCACCAGTGTCCTTGGTGTGTTATTGCATCAGCCACGAGTCACATAACTCTCTTATTTAATGATTTTGGACACAACCTGAATCTAACCACTCAGGAACAAGACTTTGCTTACAGATTTCCTTGATTTTATCTTTATGAACATAGGAAATGAACAGATCCTTTTTGGACCAGTCTATCATAATGAAAGTTATGCTAAAACCCAAGATTTTCTACAACAGTGTCTCCATGGTGAGACATTTGAGAGTATTGCCATTGTCTTTGGGTGAACTACTTTTTTTTTGAAGAGTAATTTTAGAAGTTGAGATTGGAAATTTTCCTGTAATCAGATTTGAAGCTTCTGCCCAGAGTACAGACTGTATGCAATCAAATCAAGTAGGGTAGTGCCTCCAGAGCTCTACTCCCATGGAAGAGATGTGATTTCCATTGCTGAATCACAATCCTTGTAGGATTTGCTACAAAAGGCATTCATAAATATTTTGTAGGAAATAAATCCTTCTTTGGCAGGCAATAGACTGTCTTATACATCTATTTTGTTGCTAATTTTGTGATTAATGTTACAGTGGGGTACATATCTAAATATTTTAGGGGTCATATCTGGTTTGCATACACATTTAGAAGTTTGGATATGTCTCCCAGCTACTTCACCCTTTTGAGCAACCCTTGTGTGACTTCACAGATGTCAGCAGGGTTAAGTTTTGCTCTCCAGTCTCTAAAATTGGGCAGAAAATAAAGGTCCTGATGGAAACCAAGTTGACCTTGAGCCAATAGTGTAATTTAACCCTAAAACCAGAATTTGC